GCGGGGAACTCTGCAAAAAACGCATCTTCGCACGGGCAGCCCGTGCGTTGGCCAATTTTTTTATCTTATATTTTTTGCTCCATTTTATATTTATCTTATCTTGTATTTATCTTATATATTGACATTTTAGCTTACATTTTTAGCTCCATTTAAATTCTTTTTTTAGATGACGATGAGGAAACCGTACCGATGGGAATTTTGCAGGATGATCTTGCATTAAGTGGTGATGAAGATGACTCAGAAGATGAAAGCCAGGATTTAGGTAAGTGTTCAGCAGGTTTGCTCATCGTGGTAACAGTTCTTTTATATTGTCGAGCTATTGAAATTTTTCCATATTCTTGTATAGTGCGTCGTATTACTGAATGGTTTCATTGCTGTAGGGGACGTTTGGCTGACTAACTGAGTGTTTCTCACAGTAACACAAAACAAAACTGAAAATAAAACAGATGCGGGAATGGAGAAATCACGGTGTTGTGAGACGCATCTGTTCCAGGCTGGCGCCACTTACAGCCACTGAACGACGTTGAACTAGTTTATCATTTCTAATCGCATATTTTCTATCAAAAAGGGAGCTTGAGTCACAAGGCAGGGATTTTATATATCATATGGTGGCGAGGATCGGGTGGGATAGGAAGAAGAGGATCAGCCGCTTTCACCACTTTTTATGCGTTTTTGAGTGCATGCAGATTCAACCTGAACTGGAACGCACCAGGCCTTCTAGTGCGAACATGCGTTTTTGCGTTAAACTTGAAGCAGTAAGTTCGTTATATTTAGTTTGTGTACTGATTAGCATAAATTGTTATAAATTTTGCATAAAAGAAAATGATAGGTGGTTCAGTGAAAATGTTCAGGCTGTTCAATGAGAAGTTTTCTCGCCAAAAGTTCTACTTGTCCGTACACATACCTAGGGGCTAAATTTGAAAGCTTTAAACTGTATTTGATCAGGGAACATCCCCCAAATTTTAGCTTTCCAACCTTTCTGGTCCCGGAGTTAGCAGTTTTCCTGTGAAAACTTTCACTTGCTCGTACGCGGGGCTCAGGCATGCGTGAAGGTTATTGTTACCATGGTCAGAAACTCACTGGCACAACTGCAGTGTCAAAACTTGCTTTATTGCCGAGTTGAAATGCCCAGGCACATACACATACGCAAACACACACACACACACACACACACATACTGTGGGCGGTCACAATAAGCTTTTTTATGCGTTTTTGCAGGTATGCAAATGCAAACACACACCCACACAGCGTGCATGTGTATTTATGTTTTTGTGTGTTTGTATGTTTATGTGTATGCGTTTGTTCTGGTGTTTCAACTTGGAAACCAAGCAAACTTCGGCACAAAAACTTTGCCAGTAATTCTCATGGCCAAGTGCCACCCCCTCATTTCTGCCTTTTCTTTCTGCAATAAAACGATTTTGTGACGTATTTTTCCCTTCTGCACCCCTTTCTTTTCTTTCCCATCGATCGAAACACTACAAAGACATGCGATTTCTTCTATAATCCACTAATGCTCGTTACCGCATTTTTTCTGTTTGTAAGTTAAAGGTTATGTTTTTATGGCGAAAAATTTGTAAAATCAATTATAAAATTTACGTTCATGAGTAAGTAGTCTCATTAGCTTATTACACTGGTGAAATTTTAGGTAGCAGTTTCGATATGGTAGGTGATGAAGGCGCTAGTAGTCAGTACGATGCGGAATCCGATTTACTGCAATCGCAGATGCATTCCAGCGGTCAGTTGAATGCGGATCTGGCATTAAGTGATAGCGACGAGGATGATGATGATCAATTCATGGAGGCAAAAAGGCCAAAACTTGATGACCTTACCACTCTCTGAAAATTTTTGAACAAGATTTCAATTTTCTTGATGTTTTAACAGCAGTGAAAAGAAAAAATTAAATAACTTGAGGGCGCATGCATGTCTAACAGAGGCGTTTGGGGGCAAGCAGCGCAGGATAGAAGGGTCTGGCATGACAATCTCTGCATGCATGGATCTCAATTACGTCTTGGTCTACACCGACAAAATGGACGATTTTGTTCATCTTGATGGTAATGACGAGTTAAATAACGCATTTTACCTTGAAATAATTGTCTATTAAATTCGCATGTTGCCTAGAATTACGGAGGTAACTGGCGGCATAAATATACTTTGCTGTTACCAATAATAATGCATTATGCAGCATAAAAACAGAGGGAATGAATCGAGCTAATTATCTGCCTGCATTTGAGAGCAACGTGCATTTCACTTATTAACAGAGTGCGCGAGGGGGAGGGGAGTTGTCAGAGTTGGTAAGCTTCGCTTTGAATGATAAAACGTGGTTTTTGGAAATTCACATTTTTACAGTCACGAAATGTGAATTACTGCATGGATTTTTTTAATGCGTTTTTGCTGTGCAGCGCTATAGCGTTGCTACAGCCAACAAAAACGCATATTGTTGAGAGGCTGCCTGTGTGTATGTGTGTGTATGTCCGGAAAGCGAGTGCATTTTGTCACCCACTTTCATCTTAGCAACCAGGAAATCTGGGAGGCTGAAACTTTGGATGTATGTTCCTACTCCGTGTGTCATCCTCTCGTTTTGATATTTTCCCCATACGCGCCTAGACCTCGCGTACGGGACCCCAAAGAAATATGTTGGTCGGAAACGATTTCGCAAACCAGGCAAGGTAGAAAGTTGAAACTTTGAAGGGATATTCTCTATGCACGCACGGGCTAAAGATTTTAAACTCAGCTGTCGAGCCCCCC